CATCTTTTTGAATGAAAGGAAAAACAAACCCATTATTGTTAATGTTGAGAAAAAAAAAACATAAAAACATATCTTGCAGGCACATTGAAAGCTTTGAATTGAATTATAAATTATTGATGTGTTTATAGAATTTAATTCAAATCTAGAAGAGCACTCTGCTCTTCCGAACGTATTTCACATAAATATAGATTATATACCCAGTGAAGACGTTAATTTGGGACCAGAAGGGCATTTGGACGCCACCGTATATCACCGATGGCTGTTGCGAGGCTGACCCAGTTTGCAGTTGTGACGCTGCACATCCTTTCGGGAATCGTGGTTGTTCTGGCCAAAAGAGAATTCTGTGGAGGTGTTTTTCTTGAAGTGCAACTTGGTAAGTAATTCCTGAAGACTGAAAATACATATTTTGATTATCTTGCCCATCTTTTTTCATATTTTCATAAAATATTTGGGTTTTATGTCTCTTACCTTTCAGACCATGCTTTAATCGGTCACGCTATGCTCACGACTTTAGTCGTAGACGAGTTTGATTGTCATTTCAAATGCATAAGTAAGAGCTGTAAGTCGTTTAACGTTCGTCCCAGTGACAGCAACGGAAACCGGATTTGTGAGCTGAATAATGAAACAAGGCAGATGAAACCAAGTGATTTTAAACAGAAAAAAGGATCTACCTACTATGCCTCTGTTCAGGTCGGTACAAATTATTGTAACTGATTCTTTTATTAACGATCCGCGAACGACTAGTATGATGCAAATGACAACAAAACTGACATATTAATTTCTATTTCAGTGCAAGGTTTCTAGAATACAGAACAAGAGCACATCGGGTGGTCAGGAACAATGAAAAATGTTTTTCCAATCGAGCTCTTCGACATAATGATGTCTTCATGGGAACATCTGTTCCCATTGTCCATATTTTGATGTTTCTGCATGCTACATAAACTCTACTCAAAACTCCTGATGAGAATTTCATCAACCTTTTTATCTCCTAGTCTGGAGTTCAAGTGAGAACATCAAGAGCATTTTTGTAATTTAAGGATCAACTTTATCTGAGAAGCTCACATAAAAAAAGCTTTTCATGATACAAACAAAACAAAAAAACCAAACCTGATAAACAAGAACGCGCATTATAAAAGTTATGTTATGTCTAGGTTGTCGGGGCTGA